TTGGTTGTTTTTTGGAATTGGGCCTCGGGGCTTTTCGGGGGGGAAAGGGGGAAACGGAACGGTTTAAAAGGGTTGGGTTTTGGGGCCCTGGGGGGGGGGGAAGGGGTTGGGGGGGGTAGTTAGGGGTTTTCTTTTTGGGGGGCCCCCTTGTTTTTTTACCGGGGGGCGGGGGACCTGGGGGGCCCCCCGGGGGCGGCGGACAGTTTGTTTGGTTTATTTTGGTGGTAAAAAGCCCCCTTCCGTTCCCCCCCCCCGGGATGGCTTTTTAAAAAAGGAAAAGGTAAAGGTTGTTCTTTTCGGCGGGATTCACTTATTTTTTATTTTGTGACCTTGGTACCTTCCCCCCCCCCCCCCATTTTCCACCGCCACTTCCGACAGAACGCGGGGGATTTGTTTTACGTGCCCGCGAACTGGAGGCACATGACCCTCAACATCGGGGAGAGCATTGGCGTGGGCGGCCAGGCCGTGTACAGCGGGGAGGTGAAGCGAAGCGACCGTTTGGTTCTTGTGTTCTTCGTGTCCCGTCATGGATAGCACGCCTCGTATTTTTCCCATGTCGTGCTCGGACATGATTTGGGTTGTTGTTGTTGTTGTTGTTGTTGTTTTATGGTGTTCCGTCGTGGATACACGCCTGCCTCCTACTGTCCCATATGGCGCGTTTCGGATATGATTTGGGTTGTTGTTGTTGTTGTTCTTGTTCTTGTTCCGTCATAGGTAAACGCCTCTTATTTTCCCATGCCGTGTTCTGTACATGTGCTTGAACTGCCTTGCGGCAACGGAAAAAAACTCGTGTTCCGGGTCGGCCCACGGTAGCAGGGCGGGTGTGCTGATGGTCCGAGGAGATGGGTAAAACTTTTTTTCTGTGAGGGAAGACCAAGACAGCAACAACAGCAACACAGCCATAAGAACAGCAACAGCAACGACAACTACCACCGCCGCCATCGCCACAACGCAGACGACGGTGAACATCCCTTTTTTTTTTTTAACATACGGTACCCACTACTGTAGGCAATGAACCATGTCGTGTTTTTTTTTTTTTTCTGCTCGCAGGCGCGCTTGCAAGACGGGCTCGAGCTGCTGCAGCAGAGACCCGGCGATCCCGAGCTGCTTCACGCCATCGGTGTCGGCTTGGCACACCGGGGGATCTCGGCGCTCGAGTACGAGGTGAGAGATGGTTTGGACGGAAACACTTTGTCTTCTTACTGTCATATGTGTACCCCCCCCCCTGCCCTGCTCACCATCCCGCTTTTCACCATCGCTCACTAACGCGCGAGAAATGCATGGCATCATGGTCGGTGTGGTCGATGCTATCGGTGTGAAATTGATCAAGAAAACCCGGAATATAATGGTGACATTTTGTCCTGCTGTTGTCGATAAACGCGCTTCCCCCGCTCTCCCCTTACCCATGCGCCGCGCTTTGCGGTAAGTGACCCCCCCCCCCTCAAAACCCTACGACCACCCTCCCCTCTCCCCCTCCCCCCCTTGACGCGACATATAGGGCGAAGGGGTCAAGATCGAGATGGACCACTCAACGGCGATGGACATGATCAGGGCTAGGCAGATGCTTCCGGCGAAGCAGACGATCGATCTCGCCTCTGAGAACCTCAGGAAGGTATGTTTCATGCATACTGTCCAAGGCAACATTTCAGGAAGGTGTCCACGCGTACGGTAGAACAACATTGTGTCTTGTTCTTCTCTCAACCGTTGTTGAGGAGGACCCGCCGCAGCCAGGGAATGTCCAAGAACAACTCGATCTCGCCTCAGGAAAACGTTCATGCATATGGTGCATAACATTCTCTTCTTTTCTTCTTTCAACCGGTGTTGAGGACCCGCCGCAATCAGGGAACGTTGAAAAATGTTTCTGCTGCTGTGCATTTCCTGTGGTGGTCAGGCCAGTTACCGCCCAAGAAAGTACAGCTGTCCATTAATTACCATGGAGTCTGGTTGCCGTGGTAAACCGTCACCAACACAAACGGTCTTCCCCTTTTTTTATCGAGTTCGAGTTCACCGCCCTGATTGTTTTGGCTGAATGCTCTCGAGTGCTTGCTTCATCGCCACCATCGAGAGTACGGTTGGATATGCACGTATACATACAGAGCCATGTTTTGGAACAGGGACACACAGCGGTCAGTTGGTCGAGCTGCGTCACTCGGCCGAGTTCTCTCGTGTTTTTTTTTCGCTACGATCTCGGTCTCATCTGCAATAAATACACATTTTGAATGCGCAGACACAGTACCCGTTCGAG